GTGGATGGGTGGATGGATGGATGAGTGGATGGATGGATGGGTGGGTGGGTGGATGGATGGGTGAATGGATGGATGGATGGATGGATGGATGGATGGATGGATGGGACCTGGGGAAATGAATATAGCAGGACTAATTGTAGTGCGCAGGGTCTATTTTTTTGTGAATCCTTTTTAATGTCAAAGTAATTCTCTCCTTTGTGATAAACTTAAAGATATTTTAAATTCAAATTCTTTGCATTTGTGGTCTGGAAGGAAAGAAGAGGGCAGGCAGGCCGGCTAATTAAAAAGTAATATAAATAGCTGTGGGCACGCCGGGGTTGGTAGGAAGCTCTCTGAAGGTGTGTTGTTAGGTGCTTTTTTTTTTTTAAGGTTAGTGTTTACTTTTTTAATTATGAAAAGTTTCAAACATATCAGAATGGAATTAGCCAGCTACTGTAGGTAGCTCATACCTGTAACCCATACTAGGGAGGCTGCGGCAAGAGTATTAAAAGCTCAATGCCAGCTTGGATCTAGGTTCAAGTGAATTTGAACACAGTGAATTTGGGGCCAGCTTGACCTATACGAGACCTTGTTCACACCTCTTGCTCAGTCATAGAATTTATCATTTTCATGCTGTTCCATTCTTAGCTGCTTTTCTGAAATATTTTAAAGTAGCTAAGGCTTTTTAATGATTTTTCTTTATGTGTATTGGTGCTTTGCCTGCTTACATGTCTCTATGGTGGACTCAGAGCCCATGGGCCTGGAGTCACACACAGTTGTGAGCTGCCATGTGGGTGTTGGAAATTGGACTCGGGACCTTAGGAAGAACAGTTAGTGCTCTTAATAGTGTGTATGTGTGTTTGTGAGTGAGTGTATGCACATGTGTGCAGTAGCCTAGCAAGAGGCATCAGCTCCTTTGAGCTGGAGTGACAAGTGGTTGTGAGCCACCCCATTCGGGTGCTAGGAACTAAACTCAGGTCCTGGGAGAGTGAGCAGCATGTGCTCTCAACCTCTGAGCCACGGCTCTAGCCTGGATGAATTTTTAAACAAGGACTACAAAGCAAAGGGTCCTCGACTTGGTTGTTTATTGGTATTATTAATGTCAGTGGCTTTCTCTACAGTCAGGAGCCAACACTCTTTGCTGTTGATTATAACTATCAACATTAACCATCTTTCTCAAATTTTTATGGTATTTTCAACTTTTCCTAGTAGAAAGTGTCCTCATTGCCTTTTGAATTTCCTTTTTTTAAAAAATTTTTTTTACTTATTTTATGTATGAGTGCACTGTAACTGTCTTCAGACACACCAGAAGAGGGCGTTAGATAATTACGGATGGTTGTGAGCCACCATGTGGTTGCTGGGAATTGAACTCAGGACCTCTGAAAGAGCAGTCAGTGCTCTTAACTGCTGAGCCATCTCTCCAGCCCCTTGAATTTCTTTAGTATTTGTATATTTGACATTTTCTGTGTACTCACTTGCTCTGTCTGTTTCTTACTTGCTTTTGAGACAGTCCGCTTTGACAGGCTCTTTGTTCTTTGAGCGTTACCCAGATGGGCGGACCAGGAGTGGAACCTACAATCCTCCTGCCTTAGCTTCTTGAGTACTGGGATTGCAGGTGTGCCACCACTCCCCAGTTGCTTCTTGCCAATTACTTTTTCTTTTTAGATTTTATTTTCATTTTACACAAATGGGTGTTTTGTCTGCGTGTATGTCTGTGCAGAGGCCGTGGATCCCCTTGGACTGGAGTTAACTGGTTCTAAGCTCCGTGTGGGTACTAGAATTCAAACCCAAGTGTCCTAGAAGAGCAGCCAGTGCTCTTAACCACTGAGACTTTCTCCAACCTCTCCTCCCCTTTGCACAATTCTTTGGACCTATATCTACTTCATCTATGTTTAATTAAGGGTCTCTATACCCTTAATTGGCTTTGATCTAACTGTAGACCAGGCTAGCCTCAAACCAAGACCTGCTCTAAGAGCAAAGGGGTATGTTACCATTCCTGGCTTTACTTAATCTTTGGATGACTCAATTTGGACAAATCCTTACAAAAGCGTAGGCCTTTCTTACATATCCATGAATATTTTATCCATTTTGTATTTGCATGCTAGCATGGACGGAGGCAAGAATGGGGTGTGAGATCTTCTGTGTCTTTCAGGCGGCTGTCGTTGCCCTCTGTGGGTGCTGGGAGCTAAACTTGGGTCCTCTGAAAGCCATACACGTTCTTAACCGCTGGGTCTTCCTTCCAAGCCCAAGGATGAAGGATTTGTCTTTTGGTTGATAAATTAGTTACTCCTAATTGTCTTAGGACACAGTTTGTGCTGTGTGTGTGGCTGCTGCTCATTGTGTGGCTGTACATACAGCTCCTGTATGTTGTGAGCAGACACGGGGCCTTGCTCATTCTTACAGACTTTAAGAGTTTGAGCCACTGAGAACTTGCTGCTGCCTTTTTAGAGTGAATAGTGATCTCATCTCACTACTGCTTTGCCTAACAGGAAGCCTGCAGACCTGCAGAACTTGGCTCCGGGGACCCACCCTCCGTTTATAACCTTCAACAGCGAAGTCAAAACGGATGTAAATAAGATTGAGGAATTTCTTGAAGAAGTCCTGTGCCCACCCAAGTGAGTATCCGAGTGTGTGGACACGCTGCCGTGCTTTGACGCTTTGGCTTACTAGTTTCCAGACACTTTTTTCCTGTGGGTCTTTAAATTCTCACAGCATCGATTGGAATTACCAGGACACGCTTGTTAGGTTAATGCTTTAATCAGTGTCAAAATGGACTTTGAGCTTAGCCATCCTACGAAAGGCTGGGATCCGGCTAATCCAGCTACTGGTGAGCAAGACAGGTCTCCAGTTGGGAAGTCAAGATGGATTGTGTGGTGCTACCAGCGCTGAGATGTGCTCTTGATTGGTTTTGAAGGGAGCTTTCTGAAGCAGTTGTCCGGGAATCCTTAAGTCATTCCAAACGTTCAAGTCCCGTATGCACGGTAATGGTAATTAAAACTGCAGATAGAGAGGGTTTATAGTCAACTTTCATTTTTAAAGCATTATTAGTTTTCTCTTAGGTTTTTCCATCTTAATTTAAATGTATTTCTTTTATTAAGGAAGTATTTATTTGTGCGTTTTATGTATTTGAGTGTTTTGTCTACATGTATGCCTGCACACCAGATGGCATCAGATTCCATTATAGACAGTTGTGAGGCAACGTGTGTGTGTCGGGAACTGAACTCAGTACTCTTGGAAGAGCAGCCAATGCTCTCGACTGTGAGATATCTCTTAATTCCAAAAGTGTGGTTTGTTTTTTTCTGACCCACGCTTTCTTGCCAGTTGATTTTACTTGTCCTCTTCATGTCCAGATGAGTTTCCCAGCAGTGGGATTACTGGGTCAGATGGTCCTAGAGTTGCTTAGCACCCTCCATCTCTCCACTGACCCCTCCCACATCCACTCTCAATCCGTCTTCTGTGCAGCTGTGAGACAGCAGAACAGCATGGATCAGGAAGTCAGGAACTGAGGCTTAGCCCCTACTCTCAAAAAAGCACAGCAGTAGCTGGGCAGTGGTGGTGCACACCTTAAATCCAGCACTCAGGAGGCAGAGGCAGGCGGATTTCTGAGTTCGAGGCCAGCCTGGTCTACAGAGTGAGTTCCAGGACAGCCAGGACTACATAGAGAAACCCTGTTTCAAAAAACCAAAATAAATAAATAAATAAATAAATAAATAAATAAATAAATAAATTTCATTTAATGCATCTAGATGTGTGTCCTTTGTACTCCTGTGTGTGCAGGAGCCTGTGGTGGTCAGAGGGAGGTGTCGGTCCCCCTGGCACTGGAGTTACAGGTGGCTTTGAATGCCTCCACACATGGGTGCCAGGAACTGAAACCATGTCCTCTTGTGTAAAGAGTGGCAAGTGCTCTTAATTACTAGCTGTCTCTCAGCCACCAGACCTGAGGTTTTACCAGAACTGTGCTTTGTTACTAGAGGTGACAGGATAAGATAGAAAGGGACAGGCGTCAGTGTGTCGTCCCCCCCCCCCCCAGGTGGGCGCCATGTGGGATGAGCGACCCTCCAGCCTCATAAACACAGAGATCAGTGTGCACTCTCATCCCTGCTGGGAGTCATTTAGCACAGTAATTTGTGAGTGCATTGGGAACACTAAACTTCAAGCCAATTGTTTTCAGAGTGAGGGACAATCCAGAGGTGCTGGCCTTGGGATTAGCTGTCCACTCAGGTGGTGCAGAGTGCTCCAGCTAGGAAGAGCGTTCCACACACATCCGTGATTCAGATAAACTTGCCGTCTTGTTCATTGAGACACTTGGTCTAACTGATGTTAATGGGAGACATTTCTCAGGTTAAGACCTGAGAAGTTGGAGACTAGGTGGACCCATTGAAAAGAACACTTGCTTGAGGGTTTTAGAAGATAGCTCTTTTCTGAATTCACAACAGCAAGCGGGAGAAATGTAAATGAGCTACTCTGATTCTAGCACTCAGAAGGCGAGGGTAGGAGGGGTGAGTTTGAAATCAGCCTGGAATATGTATCAGTGTGTGTGTGTGTCTGTCTGTCTGTCTGTCCGTGTCCACCTGTGCGTGTCCTTGTTTCACAACAGAGTAAAAGAATATGTTGTAATACAGTTTAAGACCTTCAAATTTTGTTTCATCTCCATTTTAATTTAAGGGAAATAGACCAGGCAGCATCTTCCCAAATAAGTTGAAATAAGTAGTTTAGTGTGAAATTTTACCTCTTTCAAGCTGGTGTGTCCCATCTTTCTTAAGTTGAAAACTTGATCACAACACAGAAGAGGATTCAGTAGGATGTCTGAGGTCCTATTTATCTATCACACAGCACTGTGTCCTAAATATACTCCAGCCTATTTAGCACATAGGGAGTGGGAAAAGCCTGGCACTGGTTGGCCCACCAGCCAAGTGAGTGGCCTTCCTCCTCCTGTTTCTGTCCTCAGCCGGCTTTGGATGATCAAGATGCTTGACCAGCCCAGGCTCTTCTGCTGTCTGGTTCCCCCACACTGCTGCACTGGCTCAGGTCGGTGCCTGCATACTAAGCAGCCAGCTGTGAGAGCTGTGTCCTCTGGTGCTGAGACTAGAGCGTTATATCTCTGCAGCTCTTTTACAGTTGTCTTCTGATAGCCTCCTTGCACTAATGGTTGCCATGGTGGACGTGAGGATGGAGTACATTCCATCCCTTGACAAGCCACCATTTCCTTAGCATTCTGGTCGTGAAATGGAGGTGGGAGTGGATGTCCTTGGATTGCCAAGAATATTAATATGTGAACAAAAGCACCATGCAGAACTTTGTTTCCTAAGGGGGAAAACATTTCAAAGGTGCCATAGAAAACAGATGGTGGTGTTTCTTAGATTGGTAACCGTTCAAAGATGTCTGTAGCCAGCATAGAGGTTTGCTGGGGATAAAACTTCAGCTGATGTCCTGGAAGGATCTGTAACCCAGTTTTATGTTTTCTATTTAGGTACTTAAAGCTTTCACCAAAACACCCAGAGTCAAACACTGCTGGAATGGACATCTTTGCCAAATTCTCTGCTTACATCAAGAACTCAAGACCAGAGGCTAATGAAGGTAAAAAAAAAAAACAATAATAGTAATAATAACAATTGGGTTGTCCCAACAGAAAGCAAAAGGAAACAAAAACCCAGGCAACAGTTTGAGCTGCTGTGAAGACTTTAAGGGAACGGGCGAAGTTCAGCCTTTCCTTTAAGTGTCTGAGCTGTCAGTCAGGAGATCGAGGAGACCCTGAGTAAGTGGTTAAGCTGCTGCTCCTCCAGCTTTTGCTTCAGGGCAGGCATGTGATGGAGGCATTGAGTTCTCGAGCTGAGGACCTTCAGAGTGGTGGGTGGATGGCTGTGGTGGGGGCTCAAGTAGATGGATTTGATGAATTGATCACTAAATCTCTTGGTTATTATGGGGTGCTGGCAGCCTAAAGTTAGCTCCCATCTTTTGTGATGTCTGTTTGCTAATTACTCTTAGTGAAGAATTTTGGAGTGGTCTTCAGAGGGTGATTAGACTCCGAACTCTTCAGATTTTTTTACATCAAAATACTAGAGTTTTTGTTTCGGGAGAGTTTAGTAGTGCAGATACAGTTTGTTTGTTTTAGTTAAAAGATAGTGTGAGGCCAACCTGGACTACACGAAACTATAAAAAAAAAATCAAGTATATACTCCAAACCCCAAAAGTTAGAACAGTGACAAAAAGAAACAAAGATCGGCACCCTAAAAATATTTGGAGTCTGCTGTGGTTGGAGGCAGGGTGGTCGCTTGGGCCAGGTGCCTGTGGACTAGCCCAAGGGATGGGCACCGGCACTGTTAACAGCAGCAGAGCTAAGACTGGAGCGCGGACTGACTTCCTGTCAGTTCAGTCTCCAGCTATGGCTCCTCCTTCCTAATATCTGGTTTAAGGTTATAGTGTTTCATAATTCACTGTGGGATTTCCATGTCTTTGCTCTTGGTTTCTGGAATGTTTTTATTCAGTGAAGGGGAAAGGGACTGTTTTAGTGCCCAGGCCTAGCATACACCTATTTTTATGTGTTCTGTGGCTGCCTTGGTTTAGAAGTAATTTTCTTGAGTAATTGGTCGTTTTCCTGACTAATGTTCTACCCAAGCAATTTATACCCTAAGCAAACGTTAGATTGGAGCCCTGCTTCCCAGAGTGTCTGGGTTGCCTGCTTGCCCGGCCCATGCTCACAAAGCCGGCTTTTATACCCAGGCCTGCTAGCTGACCAGCCTTTGTGCTCTCTCGGTCATAATGTTTTTATTTCTGTGTGCAGTATTTGAGGCCTGGAGAGTTGTTGGCTTGAGTTTCTTTTACTATGTGCTGGGGAGGAGAGTAAATGGGTTGTCCTTTGCCTTGGGAGTGAAGGCTGGGGGAGGAAATGTGACTCACTTAAGTGTAACTTTGTATTCTATTTTTTATCTGTCAAGTTGTTACTGCCTTAAGTGGCCACCTACGCCCACTGTTGTTACAGTGCTGTACCAGTAAGGGGCACAGCAAATACATGACGTGGAAGGCTTTGTATTCAGTGTCTGTGGGTAAATAGGAAGTCTAGTTGCCAAGGTTCTTTTTTCCCCTCAAGGGCCTGTCACTACCCCGAGACTTTAGAAAACACTTTTAAATCAAATTTGAGCTGATTGCTTGTCCGTTCCGTGTGTGTGTGTGTGTGTGTATGTGTGTATGTGTGTGTGTGTGTGTCATGCACACTGCAGTTCTCTTACCATGTGTTGAGCAATTGCATATTTTCCATAAGCCCTAGGTAGCAGGGCTGTACCTCCCAACACTCATAACCACAGTTTATACCAGCCTAGTATATGTTATAAAATCCAATATATTTGAATACTTAATGACCCTTACTTAGAGCCCATTTCTAAGGACTTAGATGTCTAGATGCAGTAGCCTTAGCCACATGACTGTGGGTCAGGGCCCGTGCTTAGATTGAAGTACAGTGTAAACCACTAGGATTTAGGGAAATGAGGGAGGAGAGAGAGATGATAGGTGATAGATAAATGATAGGATAGACAGATCAATCGATTGATCTTTTGGTAACAGGTACAAGTTGGCAGGAGTAGATTTATGTAACCTAAGCACTAAGAGAAATGAACCAGGCACGTGGTGCACATATTTAATTCCACCACCACTGGGCAATAGCCAGCTCGGGTGATGGAGACCTTATCTCAAAATTAAATTCTCCACATGATCCGCTCTGGGGATGGGAGGACCCAGAGCTTCTCACATACTAGCCAAGGGCTCTAACAATGAGCTCTCCTAGCTCAGCTGGGTATGTGTTTTAACCACAGGGATGTTTCTACACAGTTAACGCTTCTGCCTTGAATCTGCCCATTCAAATTATATAATCGAGCAAGTTATGCTTATTGGAAAAGCTAAGGTTTACAGGGATAATTTTTAAAAGATAGGATCTTTTTGTTCTTTGAGACTATCACACATGCACACAATGTACTTTGATCCTGTTCACTCCCCTCCTCCCACTGACTCCACCAGATTCACCTCCATCTCCCCGTCTTTCAGATTCACCCCATCTCCCCACTCTTTCAACTTCATTTTTTTTTTTAATGGCCCACTGTTTACAATTTGCTGTTCATATCTTCCTGAGTGTGGGATTATCTACTGGAGTATGGAAGCCTACCAGGAGCCACACCTTCAAAGAAAACTGATTCTCCCTCCCCCAGAAGCCGTCAATTGTCAGTAGTTCCTCAGCCAAGGATGGAGGTTCATGAGTCTCCCCGTTCCCGTGCTGGAATGCTGACTGGTTTGGCCTTGTGCAGGTGACCCCAGCTGCTGTGAGTTCATGAGTATAGGGTCCCATTGTGTCTCCGATCCTCCCTGACGTACAGTTGGGGAATAAATTCAGTATCCTTTCAGTATGTAATTCAGTAACAGATCCAAGGGGACTGGGAGTCGTTTTATATAAAGCGTGTGGTGTGGTGCACGTTCATGTTATTGTGCGTTATAAATGCTTCTGCCACCGTGATCCCAGCACTCCGGGGGTCGAGCAAGAGGAGATGACGGTGCATTCCAGACATGGCTGGCCACAGAGCAATCGCCTGGGTACCCCCACATCCCTCACGTCCTTCCATGTCAAAACAAGTCTGCTCAGGCTTTATAAATGGTCCTTATTTAATAGGAATTTTATTTGCCATTTTTCAGTTGTTGGACCTTGTAGCTGGCCTCTTTGACCATGCTATCAGGTACTGCCCTTGAGCTAGATTACAGACAGGTCATGGAAGGTTTGCACCTTTCTTCACCCTTTGAGAAGCCGTCTTACTGTCTCAAAGGGTAAGGAGAAGTGCAAACCTTCAGCTCTCAGGAGGCCCTCAGCTCTGCTGGGTGTAGATCCCAGCCCCGTGCCACCACCTCTAGCATTTTTTACCAAAATTTCAAAGTCTGTACCAGTTTGTATTTCCACTAACTACAAGGTGTTCATTTCCATATTTTCATAGGCCAAAAATATTATTTTTTATTTTAATATGATTAATTTTAAGCTATGTGTACTATACTGCCTTTTTGTTTTGTTTGTTTGTTTTTTGAATAGCTTCTTAGAGATAGGAGAGTAACAATCCTCCTAACTTCCAGGCAGATGACTCTCTGGTGACCTGCTGCTGCCCCCCAGTGGTTAGTCTTGGTGTCTCCTTATCCTTATGACAAACACCTTTGCCTGTGCTAAACTTTACAACTCTGTTCCTTTCATTGCTAGCACTATTTTGGAGCCTCCTGTGCCTGTGTCTTTTTTTCATTAGTCATACCTTACAATGATACATAAATTATCAATAATGATTAACATAGGGGCCGGAGAGATGGCTCGCAGCTAAGAACACTGGTTGTTCTTTCAGAGGACAGAGATTCAATCCCTAGCACCCACATCACAGCTCAGAACTCTTTAACTCCAGTCTCAGGATGTCCAGTACACACATGGTATACAGACACACATGTAGGCAGAACACCTATATACATGGAATAAAAATAAAAATTTAAAACATGCCGGGCAGTGGTGGCGCATGCCTTTAATCCCAGCACTTGGGAGGCAGAGGCAGGCGGATTTCTGAGTTCGAGGCCAGCCTGGTCTACAGAGGGAGTTCCAGGACAGCCAGGGCTACACAGAGAAACCCTGTCTCGAAAAACCAAAAAAAAAAAAAAAAAAAATTTAAAACATTTAAAAAATGATGGTTAACATAAATTATAACTGCTTTTCACTGGTTTTTATTCAGTCTTAGGATTCTCTTAAGATCCCAGCACTTGGGAGGTAGAGGCAGGTGGATCTCTGAGTTGAAGGCCAGTCTGCTCTACAGAGGGAGTTCCACAGAGAGCTGCTGTTGTCTGTGTTCTTTCTATACTGTCCCTGCTCCCTCCTAAGGCTTACTGGCCTTGTCTTCCCAGCTGCACATAACTGGCACAGTCCAAGTTTGAGTCATGACAGTCATCTCAGTCCACCTAGCTTTTAGGGAGATTGGTGCCAGTTGATCCTGCGACAGTGACTGGGCAAGGCAGACCAAGAGCCCAGGGCCCCAGGCTTTCCGTTTAGGTTGTCTGCACAAGCACTGGTGCCTCTTGACACATTTCTTCATGAGTGGGGCTATGCTTTCTGTCTTGGAAGAATTTCTCCCAGTGGTGAATTAGTAGACTTGCCTTTCCCCATATCTCATTGCAGCTTAGATATCAGTAGGATTGAGCCACAGCATGCTTGCGAGATGCACAAATGGCGCACATGGGTTTGTTGGTTGGCAGGATAGACACCACTCTCCTTTGGGTCTGCCCTTGCTCAAAGGAGCATGCAGGCAAGCTCTTGTTCTCAGGAGCCGAGGGGAGGAGTGAAATTGGCGCCATTACTGGGACATACCCTGCCCAGGGCTGGGCTTCCACTCTGATGGCGCTCTCCTGTGTTTCAGCACTGGAGAGGGGGCTCCTGAAGACTCTGCAGAAGCTGGACGAGTATCTGAATTCTCCCCTCCCTGACGAAATCGACGAGAACAGTATGGAGGACATCAAATTTTCCACACGTAGGTTTCTGGATGGTGACGAGATGACATTAGCAGACTGCAACCTGCTGCCCAAGCTCCACATTGTCAAGGTAGGCCGCTGGGGGTCGGTGCCACCAGGAGCAGTGTTCCCTCACCAGAGCCATTCTCTACCCCAACCAGAGTCTGCACAGTAAATGTATCCTAGAGCTAACTAAGTAGAAAATCATGTTTAAAAGTCAGCTGTGTCAGGACCATGTAATCTTAGCGCTCAGGAGTCGGGTAGAGGCAGGAAGACCAGGATTCCCTCTCGAGGCCAGACCGAGCTGCATGACACCGTCCCAGGGAGAAAAAATTGAGACTTGAGCAAGATTTTTTTTTCCTCCTGTGGCTGAATTAAAACCCAAGGGATGTAATAGGTAATTGTGAACTGGGCTGACACTGTCCAGTTCTGTGTGGTGACCGTGACCTAGTGTTCTAGACCACAGTGTTAATTCTGTGAGACACAAAGCTAAGTGCACTACCAATGAGCATTTGTTGCGTAGTAAAGATCTAAGATGAGAAAAGACGGCTTTAGAAGCTGCTGTACATGCAGTGCCGGCATTTGAGAGGTGCAGGCAGATGAGGCAGACACAAAATAGTCTGTGTTTAGACGACTATTTGTCCAGTGATTATACTCGGCCGTCTCCCCGTGCCTGAGGCAGGCTTTCATAGTCTCTGTTGTGTTTCCGGTGCCCGGAGTAGTGTGCAGTCCTAGTCTACATGCAACATGTGACTCGCTCTCTGAGTGTGAGCTTGCTCACCGTGGTGACCTGGGATGCCTGCCCTCCGAGTTACAGGCTGCCCAACATGGCTGCTGGGAACCAAACTCCAGTCCTCGGGAAGAGCTGCCCATGGAAGATGTTAATACAGTCTCTCTAGTCAGACATGCCTCATGTGGAGACGTCGGAGAAAGATGTAACTCTTGGTCTATATTACATTTCAGGTGGTGGCCAAAAAATACCGCAACTTTGATATTCCTAAAGGAATGACGGGCATCTGGAGATACCTGACGAACGCCTACAGCAGGGATGAGTTCACCAACACCTGTCCCAGCGACAAGGAGGTGGAAATCGCATACAGCGATGTCGCCAAGAGACTCGCCAAGTAGACAGCACTTTGAGAGAGATGCCTTCAGATTCCCCCAAGAATCCGCTTTCCTAACAGACTGCTCCGCCTCCTCTAAAGTAGAAGTGTATTTTGCACGACCACGCAGTTACTCAAGACTAGGATTAAGGGTAGACAAAGTAGGCCTCTCCAGTACCCACTCCTGAGCAGTATTCTAAACTCCTCTACCCAGCCCAGCTGCCCCGCCCAGCTGCTGCCCTCCAGTTTGGAGGCACTTCGCCACAAGCGAGTCACCCAAGAGACAGTTTGCTGTCACTCTGGAACCCTGACCATCACATCAATTCACTGTGTAGATGGCAGAATTTGTGGTGCAGTGTTCAGCCGTTAGAATAGTGCCTGCAGCATCAGCGGACCCCACGCTGCTGTGTGCACGGTGCAGGAATATTTATGTACTGGGGGAGTTTTAATATTGCGTAAGGAGTCTAGCAGGATTACTACTGTGCCAGACACGCTGTTCTGGAGTGTTTGACAGCACCGCTTCTGTAGAGACAATGGTTTCTTGGTAGACACTTAATTTTGCCTAAAATGTGTCATTTGTATAAATTGTGACATCCGATACTACATAGTGAAGGACTGAGGGTTGGGTAGACATTTTCAAAAGGACAAGAGAAGATTGGGCAGGGCCTCTGTCTACCTTCCCTGCTGTGAGGGTATCACCCAGGGCCACTCATACATCTACAGCAGTATTGCTGCCTTCATTATGACAGACTTTTTCTTTTCTCTGTTTTTGTGGTGCTTGGAATGGAACCCAGGGCTTTGTGCAGGCCTGACAAGGTTCTGTTCCTGAGCTGCACCAAGCCCCGCCTCTCTCTGTGTAACAAGCTCCTTTCTTGGGTGACCACCTATCTTCCTGTCTTTGAGCAACAAAGACTAGCATGTGAGCCACTCAGAAGACAACCAGTTTCAGGGAGAATTTGCTGAATTTGTTAATAAGTACACTTTACTCTGGAGAGGAGGTGAAGAATGTGTCATCTGGGCCATTTTAAACTCCCTTGAAGCTCAGGCCACATGTCCTGTCCCACCTCCATCAGACTGAGTGAGAGGTCCTTCGCTTCTCTTGGGATAAATTGTAGTTGTCATAGAGAGTGTATTTCCACAGTTTTGCCTAATGTCAGTCATTGCACAGAAGAAGAGCCCTCTGTTTTTCTTGCCATTTGTTTGGAGAACAGGGTGTTACTCTGAAGCCCTGGTTGGCCTGGGACTTGATGGGCAGACTGAGCTGGCCTCAAACTTGTGGCAGCCCTCCTGTATTTGCCTCCTGAATGTTAGCTAGGATTTAGGGCTTGTGCCACCGTGTCTGCTTGTTTTCTCATTTTTTTTTAAATCAAAGTCTGAGCTAAAAGTTGTTTGCAGTCTAACAAAGGAGAATGAGCTTTGTGAAACAGCGACCCCTCCCAAACAAGATGGCCTTTCTCAGTAGAAAGTATTCCAGAGTCCACTTGTGACTTCATGCACTTTGCCACAGTTTTTTGGTGATTTTTTTTTTTAAAACACATGTTCAAGAAGTGCTCTTTCTTACAGACGTCTCACTCCCAAGTTGGCTGCTTTAAGGTGGCCATGCTAGTCCTTTGGTGTGCTGACACTTAATAAATGTCAGCTCTGTGGAAGCATTCTGACTCAAAGCAGCTCTCTTTTAAAACTTATCAATAATTTGCTTAGCATGGGGGACAGGGAAATCTTGACAGTGGTCCCTGTGGCTCAGGGAGATGCCTTGGCCACAGGTTTCACCCTTATTGCTGATCAGAGTGTGAGCACCCTGCACCGTGCAAACTGGGTGGTGGTATGTCTGGTTCCAACAGGAGGCACCATCTCTTCTCTTCTGGGAAATGACCCTGCAGTGTCTCTGTGGGTGGAAGTGTCCCAACTTTGCTTAGTGATGAGTTGGCCGTGGGTGGGGTTGAGTCTTGAAGATTCCAGAGAAGAGGTGCCTGTTCTTTCTGTGAGTGGGCCAAGCGAGGGCTCCTGGGTAAGAGCCGTGTTCCTCTGCACACCAGAGGGCGTGCAGACAGGCTTTAGTGGGTGTGAGGTGCCCCTGCTCTGGCTTCCTAAACTGCCTCTTGGTTGCTCTTGCTGTCTCTGGACATCCAAGGAAAGTCTGTCTAGGTTTTGGCAAAGGCAGAATTGTTTTCCTTTCTAGAGAGACACAGTTTTGTATCAAGAAAGTCAGACAGATTTTGTGATTGGCAGATGGACAGAAGCTTTAAGAAGGAAGAGCCCGCAGCAAGCACTCTGTACTCTGTGTGTGCAGAGATCATGGCTTACACTCTTGAAATGTAAAATGTGAGTGTTTCCATGCGGCTGATGCAGTTTGGGGGCTGGCGGCCACTAGCGACTCCTCCCTCTGCTCTTTCTTTATAAGCCCTCCATCTTGGAGCAGGGATTCTGAGTGGAGTCTTCGCAATTTTCCAGTGGATACTAAGAAACTATTAAACCGTGGGAAGCCTCGCTGTTTTAATACCATGACTTCCTTTTTGTTATAGATGCAGACTTTGAATACAATGCAGTTTCCTCAGTAACATTACCTTTCTTAGCTCTAACCTCCTGAGCAGTTTCTACCGTGAAGAGGTTCTGACTGGCTTGTACACTAGGCGGATCAGCTCTGGAATTTAGGCATTCATACTTTTCCTGAGTTATACTTCCAGAACCTCCTCAGAGTTGCATGTAGATAGCATTTATTTCTGCATATTTAAAAAAATCCATTTAGGAAATAAGAAAAAACGAGAAGTAAGAATTATTTTTTCATGAAGATTTTGGTCCACACCTCATCGAGTTGTAACGGATTCAGCAGTTTTTTTTGAGCTGGCAATGAAGAGAGAGCAAGAGAGCTTTTGTTAGTGGAGTTCACAGACTTCTAAAAGTTTATTGTTACAATTATCAAAGTGGGGGATCTAAGATTATTTTATCAAGGAAAAAAAACATTAAGTCCCAGGCCATAAAAGTTTTGCTCCCAAGCCGTAATGCCGAACCGCTTCGGAGCAGTTTATAGAATGTCTTGGGTAGGGATGAAAGCTTATTACAAAATGCTTGCATTTTCTTCTCTCTGGAACATCAACACCAGTATATTGCTGGCAGCTATTATATTAAAAAAAATAAATATATTTTCACTATCAAAGGATTCTTTTTTTTTTTTCCTTCTTCATGGACATAACTTGGTATAAAGCTATTCTGAGACCACTTTTCAGATTCGATTCAGTACATTTCCAAGAAAGCAAGATGGAATGCTTACTAACTCCTAACTGGTGCAGAGAATAGTAGAAACCAAAACTCATAGCAAAAACAGAACAGCTTTTAAAACAGCTATTTTTATGTAGGTGTATGCACACGTGTGCTCATGCATGTAGGTGTCCGCAGAGAGCAGGAATAGGCATTAGATCCCCTGGAGCTGGACTGGCAGGCTGCCTGGCGTGGTCATGGACAGGAGCACTATATGGTTTTAACTGTTGAGCTCGCTCTCCAGCCCTGCATCCAGCAATTTATTTAACCAGATACAAACCTCCACCGGAAACATCCAGAAAAGGTGAGAGGAGACCATGCCTCGGAAACCTTGTGACAGTCAGGAGTTGTCCTGTCACAGCTGACATGGTCTGCTTGTCACAGCTGCTGTGCAGTCATCCCAGCGGCACAGTGGGGTTGGAAGGCATAGGAATGGGCAGAAGTGCTAAAAGCGTGGCATTTGCACACACGTATGTGCAATCTAAATGTGCAAATTCTTAACAGTTAAGCTGAATTTCTACACATAGCATTAGGTAGCAAAAGCCAGGGCCTGCAGAGATGGCTCAGGCACTGGTCCAGAGGACCTGAGTTTGCACTCCCAGCACCCACCAGAAGACTGAAGAAGTGGTTCATAACCAACTATGATTCTGGTCCTATTGGATCTGTCATCCTCTTAGCGTTCTTGGGCACCCAGCATGCGTATGGTGCACAAACACCCATACAGACAAAACGTCTGAATACATAAAAAGAATTGAAAGATTTTAAAGGTCAGTATAAATGCCACATATTCGTACTAAGCAGATGAGAAGTTAAACTGCTAACACCACTTTCCTCAGGAAACCTGGGTGATGGAGGAAAAATGGGGTCTATAAGTACCTGTTTCAAAAGAATCTTTTAGGAGATAAAACTAATCCTAAATTGTTAGCTACGTAAAATCAAATCTGGTAAAACCTGTGATTCTTCTGTGGAGGGAACTACCAAGGATTGAAAAGATGGATAGAAATCTGCGGGGCCTGTGTAGATGGACCATTTCATAAAAGCAGAATTCCAGTCTGTCCCAAGTATATCTTTATGCCACCTTTCCATCCCTTTGGCAAAATATCAGACATACGCTTACTTACGAGGTTCTTGTTAGATTGTCAAAGTCATGGTCATGGAAATTCATGTGTAACACCAGCCTGGAGGACAGGGATGGGGAGGAGGGTGGAGACAGGTAGATCCCAGGAGCTCAAAGGCTTGTTAGTCCAGCAGAAACAGCAAGCTCCAGGTTAAAGAAACCCCATCTCGATGGATGGATGGATGGATGGATGGATGGATGGATGGATGGATGGATGGATGGATGAATGGTAGAGAGGGTAGAGAAAGACCCCAGAAGCTACCTCTTGCCGTCCGTGATGTATGTGTGGATGAGCACACCTTACTCACATGCTCACTTGAATATTCAATGGAATTGGGGCAGAGAATCCTCATCTAAAGAAAGAAATGGACATCCAAACCCAAGGGGTATTTAGAACCCGAGTGCATGTGACCAGAGAAGAACCTACTATGACACCTTATAGATGATACTAAAATTTGTAAGAAAAAGTACACAGAAGCATCAGAATGGCATTAGTGCTCTAGAAACCTGCCCTGCAAGCCAGGAAACACGGCATCATCTCAAGCCCTGAAAGAACTGCCAGCCAAGATCACTACATCCAGCAAAGTCCTCTTGAAACTAAGAGAACAAGAGGACATCCCAAGACAAGCACCAGCTTAAAGCAGTTCATGACCACTGAGCCAGCATTGCAGAAAGCACTTAAAGGAGTCCTAAACTCGGAGCAGGGAAAAATACTGAAGAATACACCTCATGCAGCTGCGTAAGCAAAGAGCTAGGAAAGGATCTGTGGTGTCCAACACAAAAAGCTAGAGACCCCCAATGCAAACAGGAGAAAGAACAGTAATTCAAACAACCAGAATAAAAACAGGATTACAGCAAGTAGCAAATCTCTCATAATACCCCTAAATGCAAATAGTCTTAATGCTTTAAAAAATACACAATAACTCTGACTGGAAGTCAGATCCAATCATCTACTTCAGCTGTTGGTTTGTTGTTTTTTTTCTTCGTTTGACACAATGTGGAATCACCTGAGATGGGAGCTGAGGGATTGTCTATCTAAGATACCCTGTGGTGGTGTCTAGGGAGGATTTTCTTCCTATAACAGACTCATAGAGATCTTTTATCTTTGGTTAGGTTTATACTTAGGTTTTTAAAACTATTATTGAAATTTTTTTTTTCTGGTTTCATTCTCAGAAGAGATTCAACTCATTCCCCATCGTAACTCCAGTAACATTCCTCACAAAACTATCTCAGGATGTGTGTGTAGATACGTATCATGTTAATATAGAGAGATATCAGGGTACACACACACACACAAAATACCATAAAAATCCAAAATAATCATAAACAGAACAATGTTCATGTATCACAATATCTGATCTCAAATTTTGCTGGAGAGCCACAGTAACAAAAACACCATGGTACTGGCACAGCCTCAGATACGTAGACCAATGGAATAGAACAGAAATGAACTCATATAGCTGTTACTACCTAATATTTGGCAAAGGTGTCAAAAACATACATTGGAGAAAAGTGTGTGTGGTGTTGGGCAAATTAGATATTTGCATGTAGAAGAACAAAACTAGACGCCTAACTCTCACCCTGTGCAAAAGTTGTTCAAAATGGATCAAGGCCACAATGTAAGGTATGAAACACCAGCTAGGGGGAAAACACGTGTAAAACCTAGGCACAGATGATGTCCTAGTTTCATATCCGTTGCTGTGGGCAAATACCTTGCCTAAGAGTGTTTTGGCGAGGAGGGGCTTATTTGGCTTACAATTCCATGTTATAATTCATCAAGTGGATCTAGCCGTGCTGCCAGCTTTTTTACTCAGCCATCTGCCTTCATGCTTATATAGTTTAGGGCTGAGCCTAAGGAATGGTGCCACCCACAGTAGGCTGGGCCAATCTCCCACAGACATGTCCACAAGCTAACCTGATTTAGACAATTTCTCATGGAGGCTCTCTTCCCAAGTGAGTCTAGGTTTTAGCAACATTGCTAGACATTTGACATTTAAAACTAACCACCACAGGTGAAGAATTTCTGAAAAAGTAACTCCAGAGGCAACAGCAAGAATAGATGTGTGGGGTGCGTGGTATTAAAAAGCTGCTGCACAGCAAAAGCCATCATCACTAGAGTGGAGAGGTGCCTAGAGAATGAAAGCAAATCACATCTGACTGGGGATTAATGTCTAGAATCTAAAAATCTAGAATCTAGATTCCTCCCCTCCCCCACTCCTTCCCTTCTCCCTCTTACTCCAGCCCCGCTGGCTCTGCTCCCCCACCCCTCCCCACTCACTCATATGAGGGCATCAGATCTCATTATGGATAGTTGTGAGCCACCATGTGCTCATGACCTCCGGAAGAGCAGTCAGTGCTCTTAACCGCTGAGCCATCTCACCAGCCCTAGAATCTAGATTCATTTGAATTAAAAAATGAACCATCCAGGGCTGGGAGTACAGCTTAGTGGTATAGCCTTTGTCTTGCATGTACAAGGACCTGGGTTCAATCCTCGGTGAGAGGTGGGGGAAGAGTCAAGGGAGAAATAGATCAGAAACAAGGACTCAGTGGGAGATGGGGGATTCAATAAAAAGAGGGCTAGGGAAGAGTGGGGTGCTGTATCAGCACACAATTTTATATCATTAAAAGGGGATCTATGGCTATCAATCACAAGCTCAAACAATGTTTAGAGGCTGGAGAGAGTAAGAGCGCTGACTACTCTTCCAGAGGTCCTGAGTTCAATTCCCGGGAACCACATGGTGGCTCACAACCATCTGTAATGGGATCTGATGTCCTCTTCTGGTGTGTCTGAAGACAGCGACAGTGCACTCACGTACATAAATAAATCTTTTTAAAAAATCCATGAATAAGTGGGCAAATAAACTGAATACAGTCCTAAAAGAAGAAACATGAGATAACCAATAAATATTTGAAAAACTGTTCAACCTCCTTAACTAACAGGGAGATACAAATTGCAACTCTATTGAGAGTCCATTTTATCCCATCCAGAATGGCTATCACCACGAAAACAAATGCCTCACCGGGCTGGAGAAAGCGCTGAGCAGTTAAGGGCACCTACTCCTCCTGCTGGGATCCCAGTTTGCTTCCGGGCTTCACACTGGAAGGCTCACAACCGCCTGCAGCTCTGGACTCATATACACACACACAAACACACCACATGCTTTTAAAAAGGGACAGTGCTATCAAGGATGTGGGCAGGAGTGGCCCTTATTCAGGGTGGTGGGAATGCAAGCTGGCACAGCAGCTATGGAAATCAAAACAGAGGTTCCTCAAAAAACTTAAACTAGAGTTAGTCCACTACTCAGCTGTACCATTCCAGGTGTCTAAAAGCCTCAGAGATGCACCCGCATCAGTGTTTGTTGTAGTGCTATTCTTAATAGCTCAGCCATAGAGCTAGCCCAGGGGTCCAACAAGAGAGGCGTGCATAAAGAAAATGTGGCTTCTACACAATGGAAGTATTTTCAGCCATACAGAACGAGGTTGTTCTCCGCCTTGGAGCAATTTGCTCCAGACCAGCCTCTCTCAAGTGTTTAATTGCTTACCTTTGCTAAGTAAACATCCATTGAGACTGAAGAAAGGAGACAGAAGAGACTAAGAGAGTTGTATCCTCTACAGAAAAAAAAAAAAAAAAAGGATAAAACTATGGCCAATCACACTATGTAAATTAACTCAGACTCAGGAAGAGGAACAGCGCCTGCCGTCCCTCATTTGTGAGTCCTAGATTTTTGTTTAGATGTAAATGACACGGAGGCAGAAATAAAACTCCTGGGGGGGGGGGGAAA